AAAGTGTGGTCCCTAAAAAAAAACAAAGTGTGGTCCCTGCCCCAGTTGATAGGGGCATTACCTTTATAACACAATTTTTTTTTTTTTTTTTTTGAGACAGGCTCTCACTTCATAGCCCAGGGCAGCTTCACATGGGCAGCGATCTTCCCGTGTCAGCCTCCTGAGTCTGTAACTGCAAGTGTGCATCACCACACCTGGCTGAGCATAATTTTTTTTGACTCCTCTGTAGCTCTGCTGAATTAGCAGCTCTGAGGATGAGGGCCTCCAAATGATTCTGCCCCCAGCTAGTGTTAAGATCCTTTACTCTAATACTGGTTTTAATGGTTGCATCATATTCCATGCCAGAGTTCTTTAGCTGTATCCCAGTGAAGGCTCTTCATGTAGATTTCTGTTTTGCTGCTACAGATGGGAGTGTTTTCATATCTGGGAGTGAGTTTGCTGGATTGGATAGTGTATGGATGTTGGGGTTTGCAGATACTGCCAGATTGCTTTCCATAAAAGCTGTGTTCTGGCCAGGAATATAGCTCAGTGGCACAGTGCCTGCCTTGCAAGTGCGAGGTTGTGAGTTCAATTCCTGGTACACACACACACACACAAAAGCTGTGTCCCTTTATATCTCCACCAGCAGGATGTGAGTACCCTTTCCCTCCAGCCTTTGCTTCTTTTTTGTTTTGTTTTGTTTTGTTTTGTAGGGAAGGGTCTACAGGGTGTTCAGGGTCTCACTACTAGATTGGATTTGTAGTGATTCTCCTGTTTACAGCCTCCCAAGAGGTGGGATTACAGGCTCATGTCACCACGTCCAGTCTCAGTTGCCCCAGGGTGCACTGAGACAGGGACAGCACAGCAGGCCTGGGGATCAAACCCCCGGCCCCTGCACCTGCTTGCAGGTACTTTAATCCGCTGAGCTATTTAGCTGACCCTAAGATGTACTTTTTTTTTTTTTTTTTGTAGAACCAGGGATTGAACTGAGGCCCTTGTGCTTGCCAGGGAAGCACTTATCCACTGAGCCATCTCCCCGGCTAGATCAGATTCTTGTAAGATATACTTCTTAAGAGGTTCCTTATAAGGATTTTTCATTGCAACATGCAGGTTTCCTTTGCTGGTTACCTGTTTATACTGTAAACAACCTCTTCTCCGCAGGGCTACACGAGTTTCAGGACCTGGGAGGCAGCCAGCAGCCGTTATCCCATGTGTCAATGTCTTCCTCCCTAGACCATGGCAAACAGCGACCAGCACAGCCATGGTTTCCGTCCCTCTCAATTTTTTTGTTTTTTTAATGGGAAAAGTGTATTTAGAATTATAGCCAGCTGGACTCAGTGTAGATGAGCCTAATTTTGTTGGCAACATCTAATTCATAATCAAGAGCCAGTCGAATATATTCTTCTCTCCATCAGGCCTGATTAGGGTTCTGACCTTGGCAAGATCAGTGTCATAAAGCTTCTTCACAGCTTGTTTGGTGCTTATTGGCTTTGACATCCGCAATGAATACGAGTGTGTTGTTATCCTCGATCTTTTTCATGGCTGACTCTGTGGTTAGGGAACTTGATGATGGCGTAGTGGTCAAGCTTGTTTCTCCTGGGGGTGCTCTTCAGAGGGTATTTGGGCTGCCTCTGGAGCCGCAGTGTCATGGGATGGCGGAAGGTGGGTGATGTTCGTTTCTTTTTCTTCTTCTTTTTTTTTTTTTTTTTGGCAGAACTGGGGATTGAACTCAGGCCCTTGTGCTTGCTAGGGAAGCGCTTATTCCACTGAGCCATCTCCCCGGCCCATCTATCTTCTTTTTGTGGCTGTGGATGCCTCTCAGCACGGCCTTCTTGGCCTTCAAAGCTTTTGCTTTGGCTTCAGCTTTGGAAGGGGCAGGGGCTTCCTTCTTCACCTTCGGCACCATCTTGGTAAAAAGGCTCTGGGAATCAAATTTAATCAGATTTTATTGGTGTATTTTAGACATACATAATAGTCACATTCATCATAGAGAATTTCACCTGTACATGATACAACTCGTTTTTCTCATTTCCCTCCCCAGCCCTCCTCCCCTCCCCATTTACAAAGCTTTGCTTCCATGTTTTCCTTCTTTTCTCTTTTAATTTTTTTCCCTTCTCCTCATATATAATTAAATGAGTCTTTTTCTTTTGCAGCCTTTGAATTGCCCTCCTCATTAAAGGGGCTCCAGTAGTGCAGCTTTTGGTCTCCTAGGCTGTATATAAGCTCTCCAAGGTCTTATTGTTTTACACTGAAGTGTGGGATCATCAGGAATCTGTTTTTATGGATAGCATAAGATAAGGGTCCTTGGGCCAGCGAGACAACTCAGTGGTCTAAAGCGCCTGCTTAGGCAAGCTTAGGCAAGCGCAAGAACTGCGCAAGAACTGCGGTTCGATCCCCGGCACCACCTGCCCTACCAGCTCCACCCTCAGGGTGGGCTGAGCTGGCCACAAAAAAAGAGATAAGGGTCCTGTTATGTTTTCTTCCAGAATGGCAGTCAGCTAGTCTAGCATCAAATTACTAAATAATACATTCTTTCCCTGTGGAGTTGAGAGGCCCTGGCAGCTTCTTTTTCTTTTCTTCCTTTTTTTCTTTTTTTGAGACAGGGTCTTGCTCTGTAGTTCAGGCTGGCCTTGAGCTCACTTTGTAGCCCAGGCTGGTCTTGTATTGCAATGATCCTCCTGCCTCCACCTTTAGCATACTGGGATTATAGGTGTGCAGCACCACACCTGGCCCCCACACCATTTATTCCTTAGGCTAGCTTTCTTCCAGTGAAGATGTTTGGCTCCTTTGTCAAAGATCAGGGGCCCGAGTGTGCTTGGACTTTCTGCATCTTTTATTCTACTGTCTCTAGGGTCTGGCTTTTTTTTTTTTTTTTTAATCTAAGCAGCTTCTGTGTCTCTAGATTTGCCTGTTTGATAGTTTGAACACATAATGTATGTGATCTTTCGTGTCTGGCTTATTTACTGAGCATGTTTCCAGTACATTCACATTTTAGTGTACATTCGTACTTCGTTCTCTTCTATGGCTGTTTCTCCCTTTTAACCTATCATAAATAATACTTCTTGGAACGTTTCCATATGAGTTTTTAAGAGAGAGAGAGAGTGTGTGTGTGTTCATCTCCCCACGTGCACAGCTAGAGGTACTGAAATCTGATGCTTCACTTCTTGAGGAACTGGTGAAGTGTTTCCAAAATGACTGCACTGTTTGACATTTCCACCAGTCTGGGGACCTGTGCTGTTCTGGCTCTTTTTTTTTTTTTTTTTGAGACAGGGTCTTACCATGTAGTTCTGGCTGGCCTTGAATGCACTATCTAGTGCAGGCTGGCTGAACTTGTGACAGTCCTCCTGCCTCAGCCTCCTAAGTGTTCTGGCTCTTTAATGGCAATCATCCTGGGTGTGTGTTGTGCCCTACTGTGGCTCTGATCTGCATTGGAACCTCTTTTGTATGCATTTGGCCATTTGTATATCTTCTGATATAAATGCCTATCTAAGGCCTGTGCCCATTTTTTTTTAATTTTTATATTTTAGGGAGGGGTCTACAGGGTGTTCAGGGTCTCACTACTAGATTGGACTCGTAGTGATCTGCCTGTTTACAGTCTCCCAAGAGCTGGGATTACAAGCATGCACCTCCACACCCAGTCTCAATTGCTGTCTCAGCAAGCCCTAGTGGGGGGGCGGAGCCGGCATGGCAGGCCTAAGAATTGAACCCCCGGCCCCTGCGCCTGCTTGCAGGCACTTTAATCTGCTGAGCTATTTGGCTGGCCCGTGTACCCATTTTAAATACTGGGTAAATTATTGAGTTATATGAGTAATATATTTTATATTTTATTTATTTATTTATTTGTGTGTGTGTGTGTGGCCAGCTCAGCCCACCAGGGGGCGGGGCTGGCTGGCATGTGGTGCTGGGGATTGAACCGCGGTCCCAGTGCTTGCTAAGCTTGTTTTAAGTAGGTGCTTTAGACCACTGAGCCATCTCACCAGCCCATGAGTAATATATTTTAAATAATTTAGGGCCAGCCAGATTGCTTAGGCCGAGCACAGCGGTTGGGGTGTGATCCCTGGCGTGCTATGCTGGCCCTGCTCCTGAGGCTCACTGAGCCCGCGCTTAAGACTGCGCATGGTGGCGCACACCTATAATCCCAGCAGTTGGGAGGCTGAAAGTCACTAGGAGAATCACTAGGAGTCTAATCTACATAGTGACCTTGTAAACCCATGTACTAAATACATAAAAAATAGCAGCAACAACAAAAAACCCAATTTATTCTTTTGTTTTGTTTGGATTTTTTGAGACAGGGTCTCAGTATGTAGTTCAGGCTGACCTTGAACTCACAAAAATCCTCCTGCCTCAGCCACCCCCGTGCTTGAGTTACAGGTGTGCACCACCATGCCTGGCAAAAATTTACTCTTTATGTTTTTGTATTCTGAGGGGGAAGTCTAATGTGATCAGATCACTGGGCTGAACAGTAGCTTCTGGGTGCTAACACTTCTGTTTGTTTGTTGCTCATGTCAGAGAGTGGCCCAGGCGTCTCCTCTGCAAGTCCCTAACCCATCCTGGCTGCACCACCAGTCGTACCTCATGCCGCCATCCGTGAGTGATCAGACCGGGGCAGAGTGAGAGGCAGCTGGCCGGAAGGAGAGGCTGGAGGGAAAGAGCATTGGGCGTGGAGGACGGGAGGCCCTGGTGTGCGCTAGGCCCTGGCCCTGTGCAGCCCAACTCTGAGCCTTCATGTTTGGCTTTGACTGGGTCCTTCCAGACTGAAGGGCAGCGAGCCTGTTCTTGCAGCAAGCCAGGCCGCTGCTCACAAGGGCTTGGGAGTGTCTGTCCTCTGGGTTCCTAGTAGCCACCGGTCACCACTTTAGGATGCTGCCCGTGACACTGCCCCTTGTTGTTCCCTCAAGGGTTCCGTTCTGACGCCAGGGATGGATCACCCCATTTCTCTTCAGCCAGCCTCCATGATGGGACCCCTGACCCAGCAACTGGGCCACCTCTCACTCAGCAGCACGGGCACGGTAAAGCAGCGCATTTCTGACTGTGGAGGTGCACAGAGCAGGGAACCCTGAGTGCACAGGACTCTGCAGCAGAGCTGCTGTGGTCGCCAGGCGACCACATGGTGTCAGAGTTAGAGACACTGCGGAGATGGCCTATGAGCCAGAGGCAGCCCTTCTGCCCACTCCACCGCCCCCACCAGCCCTGAGCTGCTTCCTGCTCTAGCACTAAGTGAACAGTGGTTCTGTGTGTGAATTTTTTAAACTATTATGAAATTTGTATTCATACCTGTTTGTGTATTAATTTAACAATACTCATTCCTTTATCAAAATAATAATAGGAAGAAAACGTTAAGTGTCTTTCAGGCCTACCCAGTATGGCTTTGCAGAAATGCTCAAGGGCAGGGAAGACAGGGCGTTGAGGAAAAGCAGAAGCCAGCAGAAAGAGAGCGGAAAAGGCCAGGTGTGGTGGCGCACACTTGTGAGCCCTGCACCCAGGAGGCTGAGGCAGGAAGATCGACGGGAATTTAAGGCCATCCTGGATTACATAGTCAGTTCAAGGCCAACCTGAACCTCATAACAAGACCCTGGCTTGAAAAAAGGAAAGAAAAAAAAAAAAAAAAAAAAAAAAGGAAAGGGGGCCCCCCAGGGAGCTTAGGGGGAAGCTTTTTTTTTTTTTTTTTTTTTTGCAGAACCAGGGAATGAACTCAGGCCCTTGCACTTTCCAGGGAAGCGCTTATTGCACTGAGCCATCTCCCCGGCCCCAGGGAGAAGCATTTCTAAGGCAGTATACTTTAGAATGCTTTTATTTCCCTTGAGACAGTCTCACTGTGTACTTAGGCTACCCTTGAACTCTAGCCCATCCTCCTGCTTCAACCTCCTGAGTCCTGGGGCTCCAGACATGCACGGCACTGTAAGTTCTCACAATGCTTTTAAGATCCTTCTGCCCAGGTCAATTAAAGTAGACCCTCCGGAGGCGGAGCACAGCACGGGGATACGTAAAAGCTGCCCAGTTGTCTAACCGGTACCGAGAATCATAACTAAAAGCCTGCCGATGCTTCCGTCCTAGTACGTGCCGACAGCTGCAGCTATGCCCGGAGCTTACGTCTCCCAGTACGCACCTGTGCCTTCTTCCAGCGTTTCTGTGGAGGTAGGAGCGTGGTTTCTTTGGAGTAAGGATGGGACAGTGGCGAGGCAGAGCTTCCCCTGTTCACGATCTTCCGCTCACAGTGACACTGGTTCTGTGTTCACTAATAGCTGTAGGTATGTGAGGAGTGCAGGAAGGAAAGACTTAATCCCCCCACCCCCCCACTGAGCCGGTGACTGAGTCCAGGTGTGCTGGCGCTGGCCTGTAATCCCAGGGCTGGGGAAGCGGAAAGCAGCAGGGTCACTAAGAGTCTGAGCTGTGTAGTGAGACTGTACAAAATACGTTTAAAATAAATAAAGGAAGGGGAAAAACCAAGACCACAAGACTAAGGGTCTGGGGAGATAGCTCAGCGGCATTAAGCCCCTGCCTGGCAAGTGCACGGTCCGGAATTCCATCCCTGGTACCCGAAAACAAACAACAAAAAACCTGCTCAAGTGTTTTCCAGGGTGGCCACACGCCTTCCTGTCCTTCCGGTGGTGCGGTGCGGGGTGCGCGCCCTCGCGTGTGCGGGGCGTGGGGCCCAGGGAGGCCTCCGCTTCAGCGGGAGGCAGGAGGGGAAGCACAGTGACTCTCTTTCTTGGCTGTGGCGCAGGAGAACGGCGGGCAGCAGAGCCAAGTGCCGGTGGAGACGCCCTCGGAGCCCGGGGTCTACTCCTTCCAGTTCAGCAAGTAATGGCGGTAAGGGGGTGCTCGGCGCCGCAGCTCAGGGGCTCTCGCGTCCCCCACCTTCCATCTCTCCAGCTGGGCGTGGAGCCGCCCTAGGTCCTCCCTGCCCTTGTCGGGTAGACAAGAAGTCCTGGAGATGCCCAGACCTCGCAGGCCACTAGCCTGGAGTCTGAGAGTGCTAACCCCGGCGGCGAGGCGCCCAGCGCTGGCGCAGCCCCGACGGCCCCTTTTGTATGCGCTGCGTTCGAGGAGTGAATTTTTTTCCCTCTGGCAAAGAAAATTTTTGCTTTATTGAAATTGGAATATCCACCGGGAAGATAGCTCAGCAGCACAAGCACCTGCCTAGCAAGCACAAGGTCCTGAGTTCAATTCCCAGAGCCAAAAAACCCCCAAAACACAGAACAATATCCTCTCCTCCCACCTCAGGTGCGGTAGCTGGGCGCTCCCCTCCGCTCCCCGCCAGCCCCATGCCCTGTGCTGGCCGCGTCCCAGTCAGCTGCTCTGAGACAGTCTGGTTATTGGGAAGACCTTCATCCACTTCGTTACTGTTTCTTAGAGAAAGATGTGGTGCTAGACCATTGGTGAAGGAGGGACTCCATCTTGTTGAATTTAGTTGTGGAGTTCAAAAACATGTATGTTTCAAAAAATAAGAATTTTTTTTTTTTTTTTTTTTTTTTTTTTTTTTTTTTTTTTTTTTTTTTTTTTTTTTAAACAGGGAATTGAACTCAGCACTTATTCTGCTGAGCCATCTCCCTGACCCTCCTTGTTTAGTTTTTGAGACAGGCTTTCACTATGCAGTTCAGGCTGACCTTGAACTCACAGAGATCCTCCTGCCTCAGCCTCCCAGGTGCTGGGATTATAGGCTACCGCACCTGGCTAAAATTTTCTTTGTAAAGTTCTCAGTTCACACAACCCATCTCTTCACACATTTCTTGTCTTTTTTTCTCTGAAGATCGTTCTTTTTCTCTTTTCCATACAGCTGAACTTGCCTGCTTACCCTTTTCACAGTTTTTAATTTTGTGAATTTTTTGGAATGAAATTTCATATGGAATTTGGGGGTGGTGCTGGGCAAGGAGCAAGCTAGAACACTAAGCAGCAGGCAAAGTGGCTTTTCCTCTGCCCTGAGGACAGCTGCAGGAAGCAGAGCCTGCCCCACAGCCTTCGGAAGCCACCTTCAAGCCAAATGTGGTTGAAGACTTGATCCTTCCCACAAGTTCCACATGGATTTACTGACTTCCTGCTCCTTTCCTTGTGGAAGCTGAATCCCTGTTCTGCAGCCTCCCCTCCCCCTGGCCTGCAGGTCGCTTCTCCCCTGTGTGTGCCCCATGGAGTCTACTTGGCCCTTTGGGCAGGAAGACCAGCAGCATCACCTGTGGCTCTTGACCACAGGTGGTTTGTTTCCCAGGGTCTGTGGTCACACTAAATGTGTGACATTTTTGCCAGCCATGCCTGGGTAAAGGGTGTGTGCTACCAGCAACAGCATCTACTCACTAGCCCCAGGACATCGCTGAGCACCCTGCAGTGCACAAGACACTGGCGCCCCCAGTGAACAATTCTGGCCTGAAATGTCAGTAGTGCCACGGAGAAGCTTTAGTGTGGACGGCGCTTTCCTGCTTGGGGGGCGGGAGGCTGTGTTGCCATCCCAGGGCCTTCTGACACAGTGCTGCTGGCTGGGTGGGTGGGGACACTGGGATCCAGTTTTCCCAGGCTTTGCCTTTTACTGCCCTTTTGTAGGGCGGGAGAACCATCCTGGGTCCTGGTTGAGATGGGGCGAGGCCTGCTGTGTGCACTATGCAGGGCGGGAAAGGACAGAGCTGTCTCAGGCTACAGAGCAACCGTCCTGCCTTGCATGTCTGGACCCCTTCCCTGGAGAACCAGGACTTCAGAAATCATTTTCTTGAGCTGGCTGTGTTGGTGCACACCTATAATCCCAGCATTTGGGAGGCTGAGGCTAGAGAATTACAAATGCAAGGCCAGCCTGCGCTACGGCGTGAGATTACCCTGTCCTGAGGAAAACCAAAGAGAAAATTTTCCTTCCTGTGAAGACAACAGGGAGCTAGGACAGAAAAGCACAGTACAGCCCATCTCACGGTGTGCGAGGCTGGAGACTTTTAGACACCTCTGCCCCACTCCGTAGCTGTCCTTGTCACGAGGCTGGACAGCACTAGAGACAAGATGACCCGGCTCCTGGCTCCTCCCCGCAGAGAATCCGCTGCCCTGGCCAGGCTCCGGCCCACGGGCACTGCCGCTGGAGGGTGGCTTCGGCTCAGCCTGGCACACAAGGCTTTGCCCAGATTTTCCTCCCTCCCCAGAACTGAGTCTCCATCTTCTTCCTGTTTGTCCTTAATGTATCCTTGGGGAAGGGAGTGGGGCTGGGACAGTGAAAAGGACTCAGAAACTAAGGAACAAAATCACCCATTTTCCCACTGGTGCTTCCAACTTCAGGAAAAGCTTATCCAGTAGAAGAGCCCCACGTTCAGTACCCAGCTAGGGTTTGGATGAACCAACAGTGCCTGTTTTTGAGTTTCTTACCATCAGTCACGGGAAGTATACCCTCGCTACTTTCTTTTTTTTTCTTCAAAGTTTTATTGAAAGAGAAAGAGTCGGGACAGGGGCGTGAACCGGCGACCTCGCACTCCACAGCCCAGCGCCTAGACCGCCGCACCAGGTCGCCGCCTCCCTCGCTACTTTCTTATCAGTGACCTTTATAACAGGGTTTGTTCTGTGTAGCCCAGGTTGGCTTCAAATTCTAACCCTCCTGCCTCAGTCTCTGAATGCCGGGGCAGCACATGTGTGCCACCATTCTCGCCTGTCAGTGGCCTTAAAGAGAGCAGACAAACCCAGAACTTCGCTGGGGGGGTGCTGACACGTCTCATTGGACACCTTTCCTGATGGAAGTCGTTGATGTTGCTCCTGTTCTCCTCTGTCTCCCAGGACTCTTGCTTCTGTCTTTTTATACCTAAGAAAGAGTTTAAATGACTCTGGTTTTTTTGTTTTGTTTTAAATTTTGAAATTACTTTCTGAGGGTCTTATGTGACTCTACTTGTTAGATTCTATTAATAAGTGTTCTGGCTTGGGCAGGTTGGGACATGGAAAGTGACCATGAACCATGGTAATGGCACAGAGGTGTTTCTTTTAGGTGCTTTTTGGTGCAAAACAATCCTGTTTTCCCCTCCACTTGTCTGTTTCTCATGGAAGTGTGTGTGTGTGGGGGAGAAGTGATGCGTACTGCACCTCCTGTGAGCTGGTGGGGACAGAGTGAGGGGTCAGCACCTGCTGAATCCTGCTGCTGCCCTGCCTTACTGCTCAACTCAACCATAAGCATGTGCTGTCATCTGGGGGAGGTCCTGGAGCTTGAACCCAGGCCTTTGCTACATCCCTAACCCCTTTTTGCAGGCTCTTGCTAAGTCACTGTATTGCCCAGCTGTGGCTCTAACTTGGGATCCTTCGGGCCCTGTTTCTCAAGTGCTGGTATTGCAAGTGGGTGCCGTTGATCCTGGTAGCAGGTGACAACATCCTTGAACTATTTGCTTTCCAGGCAAACATAGAACACAGCAGAGTGGCTTCGTTGGCTGCTGAGCCTCTTCTGGGCTCTGAGCCTGCTGGCCCCATCTGGTGGCACCACACAGGCTGGCTTGCTGTCAGACTTGATTGACTATGCTGGCTTGAGGTGCAGGTACAGGTTGAGAAGATTTGGGAACAGAGATGGGAAGGGACAGTTTTTGAAGAGCTGCCCTACTGGTGGTCTGGCGGCTCTGGAAAACTAACACCTTTGTCGTGGCCAGGTGGCAGAGGACAGTATGTGCTGCTCCACAGGCTCCTGTCAGCACGCAGGCTCCCTTCCCCTACATGTTTATCAGGGAGTCACTCAGCCCGTGCCTGGGTCTTCTGGCTCCATGGTGTTGTTGTGCAGGAACTCCTTTCACACCCACCCCCTCTCGAGCCCTCAGCCCTCAGCCTTCTGTGCTGCGACAGGAATCTTAGGAAAGAAACCATTGCTGCCCTTCCGCAGGTGCCCCACCTTCTGGGAAAGTGGCAGCACTGCATTCCCCGAAGCCTCTTTGGCTTGAGCCAGGAGCAACCCACTTGGGTGCACGGCCAGGCCTCTGCCAGACCCGAGTCAGTGGGCTTCTCAGAGGGCAGCAGATACAAGCCCATCTGCAGAGGTGGATCTTAAATCTTGTGCCTTGTTATGTGGATCTTCCCCCAATGCCCTTTTAAACCTACTACTCCACTTCTGTGCAATCCACCCTTTAGGTTCTTCAAGCATTAGCAGACTCCTGAAATTCAGTGGGCTTTTCTGCTGCTTCCCCCTATTTTTAAGAAATAGACTTTAGTCTTTATTTTCATGGTGCTGGGGCTAAAAATCTAGGGTCCTTGGCATGCTAGACACATGCTTTACCACTGAGCCACAACCGCGGCCCTCTGCTGCCTTTCCTAGCCTTCCCCTAGCAGCTAAGGGCAGCTGTCTTTGCCACATCTCCTGAAGGGGGCGCTCATGCGCCCTCAGGGTGACCAGCTCACCTCCGCTCCCACTGCTTTTCCCTGGCCTGTCCACCTGGCTGCCCAAGCAGAACCCCGAGCTCCTTTGTCCTTGTTACTTTATCTACCTCAGTCTCACAACGCAACAAGGGCACAAGTGCCTGGCTTTATTGGCTTTCTCTTCATGAGAGTTAAGCTGGGGACTAGAAAGTGCTCATGAACAAATGCAAACTCTTTGGATACTTTCATTTCTGAAATGTCTTTCTTAGAGTTTGGCTCACTAGAACAGCATGGGTGTTGCTGAGAGGCCACAGAAGGGCAGGCCACGGCAGGTCATCCTGCCACAAGGGCACTGGTCAGTGGCTGCCATGGTAACTAAGTACCAAAGAGGGAGTTTGTGACTTACAGGGCTGGAAGCAGAAGTTCCTTCTTCACCTTAATGTCCAGGTGGTTTTCAGAGGTCTCCTTCAGGAGAGCAAAACCCCAGGCTGGAGGGCAGGAACTTTCCCAGCCTGAGTACCTTGAAGTTCACACCCATCCCTGCTGTCCGGAGCCAGGTGGGGGCTCTGCTGCATGCACTTATCACCTCGGAGAGGAAGGAAGTTTAATTTATACTTAAGACATTTTGTACATTTTTCTCCTTACCCAGAGATGTCTAATTTTATACTCTTCTGTGCTTATACCGATGCTACCCTTCTAGTATATTCCTTTTCTGACCCCTGGTCTCCCTATATTTTCCCCTGTAATTTGGTAGGTTTTTTTTTTTTTTCTTAAAAAAAAAAAATAAAACACAAAAGGCTGTGTGTTTTGGTGTCTTTCCACAGGTGGGAGGGAGACGCTGGGGCTGGGTCCTTTTTGCCACTACAGGAGCACAGGTGGCAGGCAGCTCAGGAAGCTAAGGCTCAGGGCTCAGGGCACAGGGCTGGAGCCAGCTTCGCTCCCCCCAGCACCTGTTCCAAGGAAGAAGTGTACGTGTTCCATCCACACACGGTGTGACACAGGAGCCTGCTCCTAGATGCTTTGTGCTTAGCTGAGGCCAAAGCGGGAGTTCAGTCTGGTCTCGGGTATGGAGCGCCTCCTCCCTCAGCCTCCCAGTGCTGGGCTCACGTGTGCACCAGGGATAAACCGGTTTCTTGTGCTACACCCAACAGCCAGGCTCCCCCTTAGTAGGTGTGTGTGAGAACAGTGCAAAAGGGAAGAGAAATACACAGAATCTTTTTGAATCTCTATCAAATGTGGTTTTTATTCAACTGACAAGCACTTTTCTACAGCTGCACTTGTGGAACATCACATGGCAAAAACAGGAGGCTTTTTTCTCTAGACTTTTTTTAACCTTATTAAAAATGAGATTGGTCCTAAAAATATAGAAAGAAATAAATTTAAATTCACAAAAAACTGTACATTATCAAAAAGTCACTAAAACACCACATTTGGTTATATAAAAAGTCAGTCCCTTTTGCTGTAAAAGGAACGTGGAAACGGTGCCGATGGTGTGGTTTTCTTGCTGTCACCAGACTGGTAGGGGAAGGGGAACAAAGAAGGGAGTGGGGGCCGTCTTTTCATTGCCTTCCCTACAAATACTCATGTCAGCAGAGAAATCCACCTAACTCAAGGGGCAGTGAAGATGGGGAAAGTAGAGTGAGATATGGCCCCTCTGCCCCTGCTGTCCCCACCCCTCCAGTTCCCAATCCCCTGCAGAATGCCTGGTCCCTAGAGAGGGAGCTGGGAGAGGAACCCACAGCAGACAAGTGAGACCTCACCCCACCCACCCCACCTCCAACGACGAAAATTAATCTACCTTTTACGCCAGGAGAAAACTGCCATGGGGAGAAAGATGAGCGCCCAACTAGAACAGTTCCAAATGTCTAACACAAAGTTTGTTACAGCGCAGTTATTTAGATAAAATATAAATATTTATGCATAATATAAAGTCAATTCAAATATTCTTCAATCCACCTCTTATTTAAAAGCAAAAAAAAAAAAAAAATCTCAAATAAAATTAAAAGTTGAGGTTTATCTGACAGAAAAGGCGACTTTAGAAATAGGCTCTGGGGGAGGACGTACAGGACTAAGGAGGTGCCCAGGACCTACACTGCCCCTGCCCCCGGTGGCTCTTCAGTGCTGCCAGAAGTACTGGAATGGTCGCTCCGCCGCCAGGCACCCTGTGTGCCGCTGCACCCGTGGACATTTCTGATGCCTCAGCTCTGCTCCAGCAGCCAGCAGCCACCTCCCCAGTGCAAGTACCCGTAATCTCTGGTGGGAGGGGCTTCGCAGGGCAGGAGCAGGCCGGGGCCATGGCTATGGTCGGAGTGAGTTTTCCGCTCAGACTGGAGGCTTCACCTGGGCACAGTCTTGGGGAGAGCAGTGGACCTAGAACCCATCTACTTCCCCGTCCTGTGCTCAGGAATCTCTGCTGCTGGGGAAGGGGTCCCAGGGTACGAGCAGATAAAAGGAAGAAGCATACAACTAAACACAGATGCTCATGGGATTAGGAAAGATCCAGTTCTACCCCTCTCCCTGCAAAAATGTGAGACTAAAAGCTCCTGAGGGGGAAGGGTGCGCCTGCTGAAAGATTGCACAGTTCGAAGAGGCTGGAACAGAAATGACCCAGAGAAATCGTTCCTGTGGTTTCCCAAAGACATAGAAGTGATGGTATGAAACAAGGGAAACAGTAGGAATAAAGACAGACACTTGGGGAAAACAAATGGCTCCCATCATAACAAGGCCGGCGCACGCACGCAAGCACGCACGCACTGCACGCATGCATGTACCGCACCCTCTCTTCCACTCTGAGGCCAGTCAAGTGCTAGCTGGCCTGCATCTCAGAGGTGCACCCAAACTCAGCAGTAGTTGTCCCTGAGGAGTTCCCAAGAGGGAAGTTTGGGAAGCAGGTGGGGAAGGAGACTGAAGGCCCAGGGTGCTGGCCACCTTCTCCCCAGCCAGAGTTTCAGAAAAGGCTTGAAACTCAGCATGTGAGGAGCATCCACCATTTTAGATGGGACAGCTATCAGCAGGATGATAAGAACAAAGAAAAAAATAGGGGATTTCTAAATTTTTTTCCTTTGGGGGAAAATGAGGGAGGAACCCGTACATAAGAATTTTACATTATTAGATAAGAAAACCTGAAAAAAAAAAAAAAAAAAAGATGAAAAGGAAGGGAAGCCAAGAGGAAGAAAGACGGGGAGGGTCTGCACGTGGAAGCAGCATGTCCAGGGCCTGTGTCGGCGACACGCCTGGGGTTAAGTCCACTTTACTGGCCGTCACTGCGGGTCCGCACACAGTACAGAGTGTTTCTCGGTTTCACACATTCACTAAGAACTATTGCTATTGTTAAATCACCCCAATACACTGGGGTGTGGACAGGGAGGGAGAGGAAGTAAGGAGGAGGAAGTAGGGAATTCTTTCCCCCTCTCCATTTTTAATTAGGAAATAAAACAGAAAGGAAAAATTATTTTTCTTTCTTTTTGGCTTTTCAGTCCAGAAGGACCTCATCTCCACACCTCTTATTTGAGGAGCAGGAGGAGGAAGGTTGAAAGGGGACTAAGGGTAACAGGATGTGGGTACTGCCAAGGGCAGGTCAAAAATCAGCTCTATCTGACTTTAGTCTGGCCCAGGGCAGCATCAGCAGGTGTGAATGGCAGGTTTTGTTTGGAAGGTGCGGAGGAGGTCACGAGGTCACGAGGTGACTCCACACCTCTTCTGCCTCAGAGATTGGCCTGTTTTCCCTGATAAAACTCTTCCCAGCGGCTCTCGAAGAACTGGCGCATAATGTGCCCCGCCTTGCCCACTTCAGAGTCATCCTCGTTGAAGGTCTGGCAGTTGTCAAAAACCAAGAGGGCATCAGCTGCAAACTCCTCTGAGCTGGTATACCTGAGAGGAGCAGAGGGGAGCTGTAGGCCCAGGGAGTTGCAGAGTAACACAAAGGATCCAGGGAGTCATCAACATCCACTTACCCTCCCCGGAGCAGCCGCTCCCGCATGGTGGAAAAATCCATCGGGTTCTTGATGATGCGCCGGTAGCCACTCACCAGCCGTGGATTAACAGGCTCCAGGAAAGGCCAGGCTGCGTCATGGGACTCCATCTCCATCAGGATAATCCTACCAGTACAGGGACAGCAATGGCTCCATTTCAGAAGCATGAACACGCACACTGAACCCTCCCAGTCCTCTTCTGGAGGATGGGTTGGATGAATCCACTCACTCGCAGAACGTGAGGTCACTGTGGTGGCTCCGCATGGAGAGTCGCCGTCGCTTGGAGGGTGACAGCCCATCTTCTGAGCACCGGGGCACTGAGGCTGGGCTCTCTCGGCCCCTTGACAGTACCCGCCGCCGCCGCCCCTCAGCCTCTGGGAAGTTTAGTGAGCAGCCACTTCTCCGCTTCTGCCCTCGCTTTGGGAAACCAGGCTTCTGAGTGAACTCTTCCTCTACCTGCTGAGAATGGAAAAGGTAGAGGTCAGCAACAGTGAAGATTCACTCTGCCTACCTTCTAGCTTGTTAGAATCCCTAGGTGTAACTGAGGCTTCAAAATACCTTCCTATATAAGCCAGCATATGAATTTATTCAGATAATCCAATACATAGGGGTAAATGGAAAGGCATAATTACTCAATTTATGGAGAAGCAACTGAGGCTATAAAATTTAAGTGGTTTTTCCAAAGGAGGACTACAATCTAGGTCTCCTAACACCCTGAATTCATTCTAAGCTGAGGTTGGGGACTGAGTGACATTTGTAGGACTGGTGGTACATGGGATGGAAAGAGAGAGATCTCACCTGGGCCAAACAGACAGCACAGAACCAGTCCCCTTCTGGGACAGCTTCCATCTTGGGCCGATGGCAGTAAATGTGGCAGCCACGGTCACACCCATCACAAAGCAGAAGAAACTCATCGTTGTCACCCTTCCGGCAGACTAGACAGGTCTGGACCAAGGTTGAGAGGACACACAGTGAGCCTTTAAGCCTCTGCCTACCTGCCACCCCACCCACCCTGGCAGGCTGGCTCTTTGGCCTTTCTTGGCTTTCTCTGCCTCTTACCACTTTGTTGACAGACTTTTCCCAGGCGATGGACCGCTCCAGCTGGCCCATGCACAAGCACACCTGGGCTGCACTCCGGCATCGCTCAAGAGTCTGACGCCAGACACGAACACGAGGAGTGATTTCATATGAGCTGTAGGGAGGAAATGGTGATGTGCGGATAAGGCACCAGACCAAGTGAAGTGAAGAAGCGCTTTGCCTTGCTTTCTGATACCAAGAATGAAAGAGTGGGAACCACTCACATCTCTGTCATGTTGCCCTCAGGAGCCCCGTTGGGTGTGCTGAGCAAGGCTTTTTCTAGCACCACCTCATGAGCGGGCCAGAGAGGTTCCCGCAGATATCGCCGCTCCACATTCTGTTCTAAAGCAGCCAGTCGCATCACAGCCAGGTCCAGAGGGTTAGTACTTTTACGCTGAGGTGCCAATCCTTCTCTGCTGCGACCTCTCCAGGTGATATCCTCCTGGGAGTCAGGCAGATGTTCACAGTAGGCCAGGTCTTCACGAGTAGAATCTGGGCTAGGACACATCCAACCCTTCAGGTGGGAAAGCATAATAAAACTCATCATAAAGGTGAAAAAGACCTACTTAAAAAGAAAAAAAAAAAAAGAAAAAAGACCTATTTCAAGGGCTAGGGGTATAGCTCAGTGGCATATGTGCCTGCCTGGCAAGTGCCAAGGTCCAGAATTGATCCCTGGTGCTGGGGGAAAAAAGACCTATTTTAAGTTCATGGAAGGTAAAACATTCCTATTTTCTAAACACTATTTTCTAAATAGTGTGTTTGTGTTTGAGACAGAGTCTCACTAGTAGTTCAGACTGGCTTTCAACTCATGGCAATCCTCTTGCCTCGCCCTGCACCCAAGTGCTGAGATTTCAGGTATAAGCCACCATGCCCAGAGTTTAAGGGATTAAAGGCCTTTTCCAAACAACTCCCCACCCAGTGCCAATCCCAGTATACCCGAATCTGCAGATCAGACAGGATAACTCGCTGTTCCAGATCCTCTACGCACTGAAGCACAGCTAGGTCTGTTTCGTATGTCTTCTCTTTGGGTGACCAGCTCATAATCCCTTCTTGAAAGGGAGGTAGCTGATGAGGCTCAAAAATGGGATCTGAGAAGTAAACACACAGAAGAGGAGGCCCATGAGGTTATTACTGAAAAGCAACTCACATTGGCCCTTGGCTCTTTAGTTCAGGCTGGGTGAAGGCATCTATTTACCAGCTGAGGGCCGTGAGCAGACTTCTAGCAAGAAGTTCCTGTGCTTGTTAAGGTGTTTGTGAAGTGCCTTTTCCCGGATGCCTCGGGGGTGTAAGGCCTTGAGCATGGCATCTAGCATTTCAGGATCTTGGATCCACCACCAGCCTGAGCGCATCTCTGAAAACAAGGGATCCGTGGGGCAAGGCTTGGGAAGCAGCTGTGAAACACAATGCCCACCCGGGTATCATGCTTCCATGAACTCTGAGCCCATTCCACCCAGGATAACTCACCAGGGGGAACAGGTAGGGCTGTCAGCTGTGTTAGATATCGTTGCTCCACCTGTTTGAAGAACTTGCTGGGAGGTCTCCCTCTCCGTTTCGGCTGTCCCAGCACTGTGGGACTCTGTGGTATTTCTCCAGAATCTGATGCTCGCCTCTTAGGAGTTAGGCCAGTCAAGGGGGTAGAAGAGAACTGTGCTGGAGAACAGGGGTTGGCAGCACTAGGTCTGTTCATCTGTGAATAAAACAAGACTTAAGAGGATGAGGATAATTTCACATGTACAGGTTTCCTCAATTTAACAGTTCCACAGCTGCAGAGCCTGTGGAAAGATGAAGTCAACAGCATACTTTTTCTGGCAACTTACTAGCTTGGCAGAGGCAGGCAGCTGAGAGGAAGGAGTGGGTTGGTCCTCAGAAACCGCAGGGGGTGGAGTAGGGGCAGCATTGCAGGGCACTTGGGCTGTGAAGTTAAACCAGGATGCTAGAGGATCAGGGCCAGACTCTGCCTTATCAGGTTCCTCCATAGGCTGTGCGGGGGCTGGGTCTAGCTTTCCTGGGCTGCTATCAGGTGTGAGGACTGAGCTACTCAGCAAGGAGCCATGGCTCTGGGTCTGGCTCAGCCAAGACAGGAAGGCTGACTGGCTGAGGTCATGCTGGCTCTGACCCAAAGACAAAGGGGAGCCTTCTGGCTCCAGGAATTCATAATGGGGCTGGGGTTGCGGCTGGGGCTGGGGCTGGGGCTGGAGCTGGGGCTTGGGCTGGGTAGAAGCCTGATGCTGAGGATGGGGCTGTGCCTTGGGTTGAAGCTGGGCCTGGGATTGTTCGGAATTCTCGCCCTTGAGAGAGGACTTCAGGTTCCGAGCTTGCATAGACCCAGGCTTAGTTTTTCGAGGTCGGCCTCGTGTCCGGGCAGGAGAACTGGCAGAGATGCTGGAGCCACTTAACTCTCTCTTCACAGAGAAGAGCACAGGAGTAGGTACTGGATGGACTGGCACCTTTAAGGAGTCAGTTTCCTGCTTTATCATATCTTCAGGAACTACAAAAAGAATTAAAGACACATACTGATATATAATTGGAAAGAACACAAAAACAATATATACTTTTTTTTAAAATGAAAAGTTTGGGGACTGGTGAGATGGCTCAGTGGTCTGGAGCACCTACTTAGAACAAGCTCAGCAAAGCACAGGGATGGCGGTTCAATCCCCCAGCACCACATGCCAGCCAGCCCTGCCCCCTGGTGGGCTGAGA